CGCAATCATAATCCACATCAGTGCTCGTTCGGTGCCATTGGATCGAACCACAGAGGCGTGGATGGTCTAGATTATGCCTCATCGCTCGTTGTTTTGAAATAACACATGGGTTCAAACCCTGTTGGATGAGCGATGCTGTTGAACATGATCTATACCATCTGATCGTGCGTGTATCACGATCAGATAGCTCTGCTCTAACCATAGTTTTTTAGTTCAAAATGAACTAAAAATGCTCATAACATTTAAAATACTGAACCAAATTTTACAAAATTTGAAACATAAGCTTCTAGTATCCTAAACTTTTATTGCCTAGAGTTTAGAGGCTCCATGCACTAAAAGTTTGGAGTAGTTTCAAATTGAAATTTAAACTAAAAGTGGGGATATCTTACCAACCAGTGGAAAGATTTTTTATTTCTTGGTTCTGGCTGGATCAAAAGCTACCTCCAAATCTCCTTCTTCTCTCTCATTTTCTCTCTCTCTTTCTCTCTCTCTCTCTCTCTCTCTCTCTCTCTCTCTCTCTCTCTCTCTCTCTCTCTCTCTCTTCACCAAAATGGAGTTTGGAAGCTTTAGGGTGGAGTGGGAAAGCTTGGAGAAGGTAGGAGAATTTCTGGAGAGGCTGAAGGAAAAGGAATGTGGGGGTAGAGGCTACTTGAAGGATGTGATATAATAGAATGAGAGGTTTTTGAGGGTTTAAGGTACTTGACACCCCCCCCCCCATTGTTCGAATGGATGGCTTGGATTGATTTGGGACCTTAGTTGGATGTTTGCCACATGTCCAAAGTGGTTGGAAGCCAGGGAAAAGGCTGGGCTGAAGTGTGATGTTTTTGGACTCATGTGAGGGTTGGGGACCACACCTTACCCCTTATGGTTGAACCAATGGGTTGGGTTTGGTTAGAGAGTTGGTCATGAGAGTTTTAGGGTTTAGTTAAGTGTTTTAAGCCATGAAAATATGGAGGGAATGAAAGGGTTAATGGGGTTTTCTCATTTTGATCCAATTTGACCCATTTCCATTCATTTTGGGCTTCTATTAACTTGTTGACCAATCACTGATGATTGGAATGGAGGTTAGGAATGCCACACATGGTGTAGAGAGAGAGAGAGTCAACAGGGTTTGGGTCTAATGGTTTGGAGTTTGGATGGAAATATAGTTACATGCATGGATTTGACCGCTCCTGATGGATTGACCAAGTCAAATTAATGATGGTTTGAATTTAGAAAATGTTGGAGATGCATGAGGCTTGCAATTACATGATTTTGAGGATTTAACTTGGTTTGACAATGCCTAAAGCACTGGATTTGAATTTGGTTGGGTGTATGGTTGATTTGGTCAACCATGATTGACTAAGTCAATCGGGTCAAACCAAGGGTTGGGATTAGGTCCAACAAGTTCAAAATGATATTTTAGACCTAATGGAGATGGTCCCATGTAATGGTGTGGTCTCCTTGCATGAAATGCCATAATTGATTTGGTCAACTAGTTCAAACCAAGACTTGGGCTTGCGTTCAATATACTCCTAATGATTTTTATGATGCATTAGAAGAGGTTACATGGCTTAGTTTGATTGAGTTGTGTTGAGTTTTAGAGAAAACTTTAATTTTTTCCTTAAGCGGGCCCATGGTCAACTTTGGGTTAACCAAGGTCCACCAAAAGTTCAATTTTTTATTTAGCATGTCATAAAGATGATTATGGACATGTTCAAATATTTTGAGAAAGGTCATAAGGTCAAATTCCACAAGATGTAAAGTCTTGTGGCATGGGTTGTAAATATTTGAAGATTTTACAGCCCTTGGATTTCAATTGAGTTTTGGGGGTTAAAGACATTGCATTTACCTAAAATTTTGATATTTGAGCCTAGTGACATGTCTAATCAATATTCAATTTAAAAATCATGAATACAATGTAATTTGATTTGATTTTGAGGTGGTTGAAAATCACCCAAAAAGGATTATGGGGCATAGGTTCTTTGCCTTGAATTTTGGTTTAAAGTTTTAGAATTGGCTTTGATTTTTGATTTGATTGATTGAATTTGATTCACCCACATCAATGACAATCATTTTGGTGATTGTTAATGATTGGGTGGAGAATATCAAGTGGTGGTCACTAGGTGATCATTACTTGAGAGAATTTGAATTTGGTTTTGAATTTGGATTTATTATTATTATTATTTTTAATTTAGTTAACCTTACATGAAAATGAGGTAAAAAATATGTCAATCTGTAGTTGTTTAAGGTATAGTTATTTGAAACAAAACCATGGTGACTTTGCCCGAGCATAAAAATATAGCTAATTACATGTGAGCACGGGATATGATATATAATCCAATAATCAGAACACTCTAACCCCACTATTGTTAAGGCTACGGGATTGAGACCATTATTCGCATCAATGCCCACATCAGTCGATAAAATGCCTCTATATTTACCTAACAAGAATGTCCCATCGAGGGTAAGTGTTAGACGACAGAACCTCCACCCACTTATAGATGGACCAAATGACCAAAATAATATTTCGAATATATGATTCTTCAAACATTATATCATGTATGTGTGTTTCTAGCATTGCATATACAAGTGCGTCCACGAATAAATTTAAGGTCCTATAAGACTCTTCCCAGCTGCCAAAAACTATCTTAACAACTTTCATTTTGACAACCCAAGCTTTCATATATGAAACTTTAATGTTGAACTTAGCTTCAATTTGACCTATAATTTCCATCTGCTTTAAGTCCATATACCTCCTAATACTGGACAATATGAAGTAGCTTATAAATTAAGAATTATACGGGCAATATCCTATAGCTAGAATAGGAGTAGCATAAGTATTCTGATTCTTCATAGAAGATATTTTACATATCTCGCCAAGAAGTTTGCTCTTGCCTGGATGTAGATGCCATAAATATGAACTGCCCGATGCGCCATTCTTAGCACAAACCAATGTTATTTTTTGTCTACTTGAAGAAACTACAACATATTCAACATTATTTCTTATCGACCATCCATGTAATGTAAATTATAGATCTTCTTTCTTAGCGAAGCACATTCCCTTCATCAACTTTATTGGAATTAAAAACTCTTCTTTGACTTGGAACCCAATATTGTCATTGTCATTTGTTACGTACTCATCCCATTCACGAATGCTAAAACATGTTTTAATAAAGTCATTATTTGTAGCCATTTCTTCTGCAATGCCAACATTGGCATAATAATATTATTGTATGATGATATTTATCTTAGTATTCATATCAATATTCACTTTGTCTCCACCTCATAATATGTTATCATCATCATCATTACAAACCAGCTCACTAGATCTGCTACTCATGGTTTCATAACCATCATCAATAGCGAGTGATGATATCGTGGAGAGGCTCAATACATCCTGCTAATGACTGTTGCCTTTCATTCCATCACAAAAAAAGGAATATTAACATAAGTAATAAATCTACAAATTTATACTTGAATCAACAAAGATTAACATGAAGAATGTACTTAACATATTACGGTTCGACTTGTGGAATCATTGAACCACCTTTTATCCTTTCCTCCAAAATGAATTATTCATGCACTTGGGATGTGATATTCTCATCATTATTACTAGGCTCGTATATCTCTTCAACCTCCACATATAGTATAAGTATTTGTCCAGTAGCATGTGATAATACCATTTCACATACCTCATTATCCCCCACAGAAGAAGCTATAAACTCATTCTCTAAGGAAAAACAACAAACTAACATCATTGTATACTTCAATGTATCATATTTAGGTGCTTTGATTACCCTAAACTTTAACTACTCCAACTTCGTGTTAGTTGGCACTTGCAAGAGGCGATAACTACCTCCAATATAAATTGATGCTACTTATCATCTATGACAATTCTCCACCTAAGTAAGAACAAACGACGCTCGTCCAGACATAATTGTGCTACTTCATTTTATTGATCAGATCCTACAATAAACCTCCATAATCTCAAACATAAATCAACATCATTCATAAAAAAAACATCATTTATCATAAATGGTATATTAAGATCGAATACAAAATTATATTTTTTATTTTGCAAAATATTGCAAAATATATTAATATAAATATAATTCAAAATAATACATAATAATTTTATAGTTAATTATCATATTAAAAGACAAAAAAAATTTACAACCCAACATTGCAAAAACACAAATAACAAAATACTTTGAATTCAAACAAATACAATCCCAAAAGAGTATAGCATAAATTTTTTTGGCCAAGAAAATGATAGACAACTAAACCTAACAAAATTACTTAGGCGAGATCTAAATATAATATATATACTTAAAAAGAACTTCGTCTAACTTAAAATAAACACAAGAAGATAACAATATTAACCGCAATAACATTAAACGAAGACAAAAAAAGCTAACCTCAAACTCGTTTTCGTCGGATGGAGCCGAACGGCAACCAAACAGTCGTTGAATAGAAGAAATGTCGAAATGATAAAAATAAGAATTTTTGTGTGATAAAAAAGGATAGGACTAAGGCTTCTTTTGAAACGGTTTTTATTGTTTTTTAAAACAGAGTTTTAATATTAAAATTTTAATTTATGTACTAAAATTTTATTTTATGTACTAAAATTTTATTTTAAGTAGCAATAAAAAAACAATTTCAAATGAAACATAAGGCTTCGTTTGAGATGGCTTTCTTATTGATTCTTAAAGTAGTTTTTTTATAATAAAAAAAATTTACTAAAAAGTTGCTTTAAGAAGCAATAAGAAAGCCGTTCCTAAGTCAACCAGTTTAACAGACTTAAAGAATAAGTTGCCCGGACGAGTTTTAAATTAAGTTTATAGGATACTTAATTTCAAATGAAGCCTAAGACTTCGTTTGGGACTGTTTTTTTACTGCTTTTTAAAACGGAGTTTTAATACAAAATTAAAAAAATTTGTACTAAAACTCCCGTTTTAGAAAGTAGTAAAAAAACAGTCCCTAAAGGAAGCCTTAGTTTAAAAATTTACCCACTTATTAATATTATCCGCATAAAGAAAGGAACACACGCCTCTCTCTGCTCATCTCTAGTCTGCCATGGATCTAACGGCGGATCAACTGAAGAACTACGACGGATCAGATGACAACAAGCCAATCTACATCTCGATCCGCGGCGTCGTCTTCGACGTCAGCACAGGCAAATCCTTCTACGGTCCCGGCGGCGCTTACACCGTCTTCTCCGGCCGTGAGGCCAGCCGTGCCCTCGCCAAAATGAGCAAGAACGAGGAAGACGTATCCGGCGACCTCGATGGCCTCACAGAGAAGGAGATGGGCGTTCTTGAGGACTGGGAGAAGAAGTTCCGAGCTAAGTATCCCGTCATCGGTCGCCTTGTTGTCTCCTGAATCACTGTTGTATGTAATTAGCTGTGGGATGCGAGATGTTTTTCATCTATTCGCTAATTTGGAGATAAACATGGCTTGATATATTGTCTACTTGTCTCTTGAATCCCGTTTCGGTCTTTGTGCTGATTTGGGAAAATTAGTATTAAGTGGTATGTGGATGAATTCGATGCATTCTGGTGTGTTTATTATGATATAATAAATTATGTGTTTTATCTATCTATGAATTGATCCCAGAATATTGATGCTGTGACTTATTTTCTGTAAGAAACATTGGCGGCGAAAGAACCCTAATTTAGATGTTGATAAAAAAACATGATTAGTAAAAGGAATATATTTATTCAACAACCACATCGCCTACCAGAAGGTATGCAGCGATTGTCAATCCTTATAGGAGCTGTTTGGTAGTGCCCAGGATTTGATTTAAGTAGAATTTCATAAATCCTCTAAATTCGGATTTTGGAAATCCTGAGAGGTCGAAATCTTGAAAATTGTTTGGTAGCATTCATAATAAATCCTATTAAATCCTGCATATTGTTTGTCTACATAATGGATTTAGCACCGAAAGACGGAATTTTCCGTCTACAACGGCTTTCATTTGCCGTGAGATTTGGTTTTGCATTTTAGGCCGTTGGCCGTTTGGCTGTATTTCGCTCAAATCCGGCCTAAATCCTGCTACCAATCAGCCCTTTAATATAAATGATTTCTCAACTATAGGGAAACAAACATATGTGGGTCCTCCTCATGGCTTCCGGCCATTGATTTGGAGCTCTTCTTTGTCTATATCACATGGTCACTCGATATTGTTGGATGTTCGAGTTTCAACTGATGAATGTGAGGGCAATTTGATGAAGTCATTGGATGTTCAAGCTTCAACCATATTCTTTATTTCTCATCTCACAAGGAAAAAAAATAGTCCTCCCATCTCCGGTTGCTAGCACGCCTATCCAAGAAAATGTGTAGGCTTTACTTTAAACTTCAAAGTGGAATTTTAATTAGTTTGATAGATTTCCACGCTTCCCCACCAAATTGCCAAAGTTTCCATTAAACATTCAACTTCTTAAACCCGAAAGGATCCTTGCTAGATCCCTATCGCTTTTACATCTTATGTCTTGGGACTTATAAAAAATGATTTAGGGGCTGTTTGGTTGGATGAGATTTGAATGCACTGCCTTCCAATCGCAGGGCTTTTCAAAATCTAGATGTATGGTTGGAAGAAAATCAAATACAGGTCTGAGGAATTCTAAATCCCACCTTTAGTTCATTTTGGATGCATTTCAAGTTCGCCCAAATTGGGCAAATTTTGAATGCATCGCATAAAAGGCACTGTGCTTCTGGGACCTCTGCTTCTCTCCGCTCATTGATCGCCTCATCGTGCATCACGCTCGCCTGCCTCATGTCGCACTAGCCTCATATGGTGCTTGCTAGCTCCATCTTAGTTCCGCTACCCCTCTACCTCCAGAGAAATTATTTTGTGCGGATACTGGACGGTCCGGAGACCTACCAGAACGTGCCACATCACCAGGTATCAAGCGGTACCGAGCACCGGTACCGAGCAATGAGCGGAGTGACTTGGCGCGTTTTGGTTGGTCTCCGAATGCCGTCCGGCATCTGCACAGAATAATTTTTCCTACCTCCAACGGTCTCACTCGCGTTGCTTGTGACCACAAGTTCCCGTCAATTGAAAGATTTATAATCTAGGTTAGTTTTTATTTATTTATTTATGTTTTTTTGTTCTAACCAAACCAAAAAAAAAAAGATATCCAAAATTTCAAATGCATTGCATCTGATTTATATTGCTGTTAGATTACCTTGATTTCCAAATGCTTGTAACCAAACAACCTCTTAAGCAGAGTAACTACACTAACTTCCATTTTCACTCTGTACTGTGCCCTTAGAAGAGAAGATCCATGCCTTCAATGCTGTTTCGGTAGGAGTACACTCTCCTCTTACTATGAGGAATTCGAACCTTCTCTGATGCTTCATACTAGTTAGGCATTCACTGTGTGGAACTAGGAAATTATAGCATGAATAAGATTACAGTACTTTATACCTTGTTGATATCCATGCACAAGTTATTCCTCATGGCCATCCCTGCCAATCTGAATGGATAGGTGCCAGTCTGTATAATCTTCTTGACTTTTAACAGAACTGAAACTTTTTCCAGCCAGCTGAAAAAGCTATGGAATTTTTTTTTTCTTTAGATGCTTAACTTGGATTCGTCTATCTAGCCAAAAGGAGAGAACGCTTTACAGACACTTTAAAAAGGACTAAGGACTATTAATCTCTGAGTGTTGTATGGCAAAAGGAAGGGTTTAAAATACTTTCAAAGTTCTTGCTCCGTAATCAATTAATGGTACCATTATCTTCATCAGGTTGGCATGAGGTTTTCAAGCAAATTAAATTGAATTCAAGCATGGTCAGCCACTATTGTTGTCCTTTATTTTCATATAATGATGCAGTAAAGTCATGTATAAGAAAGATTGCTCATGCATGTAAAAAAGACTTGGTATTGAATTTTGTAAAATGCTATTATGCATGTTTGTTATGGAAGGAGCTTGGTGGCTTCTCTCCTCCATGTATCTTTTGGTGAGTTACATTGGCTATTGATTTGTATTCTAATTCTAATAATAAATGTTAGTTCGGTGTGGAATCTGATTGTGTTGATCAATCTGGTTGTATTGTTGCCTCGGACCTCAATTTAATTTGTTGAGCTCGTTGGGGGTTGTAGGAGGTCCTCCCTTGCTTGGGTTCTGATGCTTTGCACCCATATTTTTTTTGGTGCAATAGTACAACGCTGTGTACCTGAGCGTTGCGGCGCTATATAGCTTGATTGGAAAAGACAAAGAGTGGAGCGCCTGGCGCTCATAATCCCGACGTTGCGGCTTTGGCAGAGAGCGATGTGGCACTTCAGATCTTGGCGTTGCAGTGGTGTCAAGCTGATAGGGGGATAGAGTGTTGAGCATCGCAACGATCCACATCTAGCTTTTCCACACTGCGAGACGGGCTGATAGCTTTATCATTTTTCATTAAGAGTTGCATCCCCTTCGTGGTTTTGTATGTTATAGTGTGAGAACAGTGCAAGGGTGAAGAGAAGTAAGGAGAGAGAGTGAGAGAAGAGAGATCTGTAGTATTTCTCCCAAATTTTCATAGTGAAATTTCTTGATGTGATGTGGCTCTGTAGTTTTCTACCAGTTTCGAATTTTTCCACATTAAATCCTAATATTCTTTCTTTTCCGTTGTATTTTCTATTCATTATTTGTTTCTCCGCATAGTTTTACTTCGCCCAACAATAAATGAGGATTTTCTTTTCTTTCTTCTCCACTCTTCATAGTAGCATCATCTCCACCATCACAATCTTTATACTTAGCCTAGACCACAATCACATTCTGTATTGATGGCTAAAGTTCCATCTCCTATAGCATAACTACCCTATTTATCATTTAGCCATCTTTATCATTCAATAAAAAAAAAAATTTGTCATTCAATAAAACTAAATTTTTGTACCTTTATATTCCCACATCTCAATCAAGTCCTCTAATTAAGACTAAAGTCTCTTATAAATTAGGGCCTTTAATACATTCTTAAAATGCACTAAACATTTTAAGGAAATAAGCATAATATTATGTACTAATGACATATATTCACAACATTTAAAATTGAATAAAATTAAATTGATGATAAATCAATTTAAATAAGTTATGAAGAAACAAGTATATATTGTAAGTGTGAAGTATATAGCAAATATAGAATTAGCGGAGATGTTGCTAGACAAACTAATAAAAATATAAGTCATAGTCGGCAGATTATGACTTCGTTTGTGATATTTTTTTTTATTGTTTTCTAAAGCAGTTTTTTAGTATAAATTTTTTTTGTATTAAAAATTTTTGTACTAGAAAGCTATTTTAGAAAGCAATAAAAAAAATGTCTCAAATGAAGCCTATATTTGTTGACATATAAATAGTCATTCTTAATATGTTTTGTGTCTTCTTGATGTACATTCAAGAAAAGGAGACATACTTTATGTTATTTTAATTCATGTGGTCAAAAGGACTTGAGACTAAATAAGTGCTTATCAAACGCTTGAAATATGACTAATTTGGTGCCGGATATTGTTGAGGGATTTGACTATTAAACTTTGAAATATCAAATTACATGGCATGGTCCATCTAGTTGTCCTAGAAAATTTCAACTGTGTAATAATTAAGTAAATTGATTTTATTTATTTATTTACAATTCATGTATATAACTTATATATATAATTGTATTAATGTTTTATATCCATCAAAATAATAGTGTAGAACAATTATTAACCTCCACATCCATAGAGTGGAGGGAATAAATATATAACTATATATATTATATTATTCATTCATGAGGGATTCATCATCGTCATAATCATTAGCCTTATCCTAACTATTTGGGGTCAACATTATCAATTATCATTTTCTCTTTGTTCCTTCTAAGTGTTGTTTGATGTGTTAAGTGTTGTTGCGTCCTGGAATATTCGCGTTTGTAGAGAAATGTATAGTTTAACGTTTTAGCGTTGTACGAAGATCCAGCACACAGGCAGATAATAGAGAGGGTGTAGCGTTCATAAGAGACACCAGAGTTTTTACGTGAAAACCCCTTAAAAGGGGAAAAAAACCACGGGACCTGACCCAGTTTGAATGAATCCACTAGTATTTGCAGTCGATTACAAATGAGGCCCTTCTTTCGAAGAAGGCCTTGACTTGATGTCACAAATGTACATCATATAGAGCGCATTACATGGTGGGAGTTACAATATTTTACATAGACATGTTTGTTTGGACGGCAGGACCATAGTCGATAGGATAGAGGTCGGAAAGATCGTAGTAGGCAGGAGACCGGGGTCAAAAAGACCATTATTTGGCGATGGAGGTTGGAAGGACTGTAGTCGGCAAGGGACAATGGTCCGAAAGACCATAGTTGACAAGAGACCGGGGTCATAACGACCATTATCTGATGATGTAGGTCAGAAGGACCATAGTAGACGATATAGGTCGGAAGGATCATAATCGGCAGGAGATACGGGTCCAAAAGATCGTAGTTGACAAGAGACTAGGGACAGAAAGACCGTTGTTGTAGGACGATACTCTGGTAGAACTCTAGGCGTCAGGGGTGGCCCAGTAGAAGTCTGGGCCATTGGTGGTGGTCATATAAATTTGTCGGTAGAAGTCCGGGCCTCAGGTGGTTGTTCAA